GGGAAAACAGATTTTCAGTAACCCAAGAAACAAGCCTAGTAAAGCTGATCAAAATTCTACTAAATTGATTCAGAATAGCTCTACACTGGAAGTCCTTTCATGCAACTGGTCTACACATTGGACTGGATTTAGCCCATTCAAGGTAACCCTATATGATAGCACTGCCCGGCTCCAAAGTAACAGTCAGTGAGTCAGTCGGTCAGGCACAAAGCCGGACACTAGGCTGGCCCTCTGGGACTAGTCTAGGAGCTAGATGTTGTTATGGTTTGATACGCGATAACCCGCCACCGCGAAAGGGCGCTATCACGATCATCCAGATGACAATGTATCTAGGGAATTCAATCTGCTGAAATCTCCTCCCGAAAAATGGGAGAAACTAGCGCGCATCCGCGACTTCTGTCGGCTTCTGTCTTGCGAAATTTGAGAGTTTGCTTCGGAACTACTGGTACTATAATTTTTTTGAATTGCGTGCTGCATTACTATTAGGCCAAACAGGTGCGCTTGCATTAAACAACCAGTACGACTTTCCCTAGACGTTGTTCCTGACAACTCCGTGGGCGATACTGGTTGGTCGTGATAGCGCCCTCTCACAGCAGCGGGTTATCGCGGCTGTGGATTATCGCGTATCAAACCATAACAACGTCTTGCCCCTAGACTACTCTGGGACCAGCAAAGAGATTAGCTACATTGTACGTGTAACAGTCCACCATAACTCCCTTGCATGATTTACTAGGAACCATACCCATTCTGGCAAATTCCAACACCATATGGGCAACTGTACACACATATTTCTGACTTAGATTCTGGAGGTGTGCCAACCCAATGTAAAAGACTTTCAGTTTAGGGATACTGTACCCATCCTGACAGATTCCAACAAAACATGCTGTTGGGGTTTGATGGGTTGAGTTCTGTTAGGGTTTAATGTACAATGGACATTTTTAGGCACAGAGAAATGATATGATATAATCTCATAATGCAAACAAAAGTGGTCTCGGAGTATTGCAATACGAATGCTGAAATCTTGCTGTAATCACATGCCACTATGTACTGAAGTGACAGACCGACCCATTAACGACCAAAACCGAAACCCCTATGGACCCCCATCCAACCACAATGTAACGAGGGAAAAATCAAAATCCAATGTTACATGTCTGAATTCAAAAAGTTGTAAATTAAGCCGAAAAATTATGTGTTTACCGTTACCTGACCTACCAGGATCTCACAAATTTTGTTATTAAAAGTTGGGCTGAATTTTTTTTTAAAAGTCCATTTCGAAAATAAAAAAGTTTTTCCTATTTTTTTTTAAAATTATACAATTAAACAGGCTATACCATTACAAGTACAGAACAGAAGTACAGAACAGAATACCACGAAGAACCCTCATATAAAAGTATAAAGGACTGACCAGCAAACTTCAAAAAGTGAAGAAAAAAAAAGAGTTATTTTCCTACCTAGCTACCTGGATAAATTTTAGGGCGTTACTGTAAACACATTTTTTTGGGGTCAGCCTTATAGGATACATGCACATAATGTTCATGTGCACGCACTTTTGTTCATGTGTACTTTTGTTCATGGGTAATGTTCATGTGCACTAAACATCAAAGCCAAACCAGCTGCCGTCATTTCTGCCAATTTTTCTTTCTTGTGGTGACTATTGATATTGATTTTTTTTGTCAGCCTAATAGAATACATACATGTTCATGTGTACGTACTTTCCCATGTTTCCAGGCACTAAACATCTGTCCATCAAACTCAAACCAGCAGCCATCATTTCTGCCAAATTTTTTTATTCTTTCTCTCTATTTTCTTTACGACCAGCTATATTTATGCGGAATGATCAGTATGTACACCTGGCAACTGTTGCCAAGGGGGCCACATTTTAATGGCGGCACTGAATTCCGCTGGGTCCCTGATGGGCAGATGGCATACCGGGCCCGGTTGCACCAGTTCATAAGACGGCAAGATCATCACCGTCATCAGCACATTCATCAGGTGGAACCGTGGAATATATATCCACCTTGAAAAGTACTAGAGATGCATGTCAAACAAATTTGATAAAACCATAAATTGGACAGAACAAATTGCTCGGGAACTGTTTGTCGACTGTGGAATTCAACAACTTTTACAAAAACATCCGGCAGATGTTGGCACATTTGGCTAATCAAATGTAGACATTGTGAGCACATATTGTTTTCATGAATTGGGTAGATCTTGGGTCTTGGAATTCATGTCATATTGAAGAGGAAAGTCGGTTGACTCTTGCAAACACGCACCTTGTAAAACTACTTGAAATTTTTTTGCAAACTCTGTGTTACTGAAAATTATAATTCCTTATCTACAGGACTCTACTCTATAAATTTGGGGTCCACTTCTTTTTCTTGTCCCTGTTGCATCTGACATCTATGATTTTATAATTCTGATGCACTCCTTAACGCAGTCGTCCTCCAAGAGTGTTAACATGAATGACAAACTACATTTTTGTATCTACCCAACAAATAAAACATTGTTTGAAATTAATGATACTTGAATGGTACATTACAAAGTACCAAGGTAACAGGGACAGGAAAAAAGTCACACTTTGGACCCTAAACTTATAGAATGACCCAAATGCACACAAAAATTAACGAGTTGGCTGACTGGTACATGTACATGTGTGTAGATTGTTGTCATTTGATAAAAAAAAAGTGTGCCTTTTTCCTTTAGATATTTTCAAAAGTTTAAAATACGCATAAACCCTATGCTTACATTGCACATGTACTCTGATTCTAGCGCCGTGTAACAAGGAAAACAACGTTAGCAGGCCAGTCACGCAAAAAGCACTTTAGGATATAATCGAGTTGAAAGTTTTTGTGCTGCCATTTCTTGATTAGAAATCACATAAGGTTGAAATTTTGACTGATGACGTTCGTTAATAATTCAAATAATATGGTGCATTTTTATGTCAAAATATTACTTAATTGTGAAGTTATTTCAATTTTCATGCTAACAACCTTGCGAACTTTCCAAGCCTTAAACGTACGCTTAGGTGGCATATTAAATCCTTACGTCCTTTTGCGGGGAACAAAATTTGCATTGCGTACCCACTTGCGCGCTTCGAAAATTTTTTTGTTACATTAGTATTACACGTTAACGTCCTTTTGCCGGGCACAAATAATGAAAATCCTCCTTGTGTCTTTTGTTTACTGTTAATTACATCAGAATGACGTGGCCCCTTGAGACAATATGCATATCAAATGAAGATATTTCCAAGCTCTATCGATTGCCCGAAAAATCTGAACTTGACATTTTGACTCATTTTTCGCCCTTACGACCTTCTTCCAGGCGCCCGACGATAAGACTGTGCATGCACACGCTGTGTATGATGATACCATTTCATAACTTAACATTGTGCAATTAATGCATGAATTATTAAGTTAAACTGGTCGGTTAAAGAAACATTCAGCAACATTCAACCTGCTCAAAGGTCTCCAACAGGTTTCTCTGATGTTTACAGTTTGTCTGGTGTTTACGACCTTGAACTAATCAGAAGTGACAGTATTTGTTTAAAAAACACATCACAGTATCTGCCTTCCCCCCAGCATAATACACGGTACTTCATCATTTCTGATGGTCCAAAACACAACATTTCACCTCTGACTAAATCTATCTTGTCAGGGTTGGATCTGGTGTCAGACAGGTCTGGGCCCGGACCATTAATCAGTAAATGTTGGTGTTATGCATCGCTGTCAGTTTAAGGCAAAGTGTGTGTATGTTCAAAGCGTTCGAACTTCAAATTTTTTGTTTTGACAGTATTGGATGTGTAAAGACAATGAAAAGGCAGAGAATTGTTGGCGAACTTAATTAACCCTAACCGCCCTGAATCCTCCAAAATCCTTTTTGCAAATTGGAGGAATTTGCAGGATTGAGGTTACATGGCAAAAGTGCGTTGCTGATTTCAGAGTACGCACTGTGTCAAGGTCTTGGGCCGGACCTTGTGTTGTTTATGCTCAGCCGTGCATAAATTTAGTCCTTGATTATACTTGACATCCTCCCCACTGCTCCAGGATGTCACTGCCTCTGCCTCAGCCTATTGACAGACATAGCCGGAGGATTTTGCAGGATTCAGGCAGTGGTCATCCCTCCATGAACCATATTCAAGAAATAGCGGAGGAATTTGCAGGATTGAGGCTATATGCTATTTTTCCATGAGGCCAATTGGAGGATTTTGCAGGATTGAGGCTACATCCTAGCAAAAATGCCTAGGGAGTTAGGGTTAAATGAATTGTGTAACCTGGGACACAGGTTATTTCCCATTTATATTTAATTTCATAAAGTAAATATGATATGAAATAAAGACATACAGTCTCTTCTTGTTTGTTCATGTATGATAGACAGGTTCGTGGTCTTCATCTCTCCACTAATATACCAACACAAGGTAATACCGTGAATTTTTTTTCTCAAATTTTTGGAGCTCTTACGTTTCTAGTCATGGCTTTAAAAGTTTTCAATCAATTCAGTTTATTTTTCCACTTAGGCAATAAACAATATCAACAGCATGAAAAAAACACACATACATGAATATTTGTTTAGATATGGCCACTGATTTGTCCGGGCCTGCTTTTTCTGGGACACACTGTAGAGGGGAATTGTATGTTTGGTTTTCATATTTTAGATTCTTGGGAAAATGCTAACTAAAAATTAAAAAAATAATCCTTAAACTGGGGAAGGATAACTTGATAAAATCTGTGATTTACAGCCAATTCCTCTCCAATCCCATTTTTTGGGGGGTAGGGTAGAGGGTGGGGGCATTGTTTGTCTTGCCAATGGCAGGGATAAGGAGATACATGTAAAATCCTAACATGAAGCCATTTACCAAAAAAAGAACACGTGGCTAGGAACCAATGTCATGTGCACCCCATCTTCCCGAAACAAAGACTAGAACCTTACCCCATCCCTTGTCTTTGTTCCCCACGTTGTTTTTTTTCCAAACATTTTACAAAGATCTTTCCAAGTAGACTTACCGTGCACTTGTTAGGCTTCTCCCCGGAGTGTACCCGCATGTGAATCAGCAGCTTGTAGCGAGCGTTGAAGGGTTTGTAGCGTCTGGTACAGGCTTGCCAGAAACAGGTGAAGTCTTCCCCCTTGCGCTGGTCAATGTGGACCTTCTCAATGTGCCGCACCATGTCCTCTTGATCCTCAAAGACCGCGCTGCAGTCAATCCACCGGCAAATGTGGACCCGCTCGCTGTCCATCTCCAGGCTGGACTTGGCCGTGCTGGACCCCGGCGAGTTGACCTGGGTCGTGATGGCCGGCGACGCCTGCCTGGAGTGCGACTCAAAATGCTGGGAGTAGGAAGGCGGCGGCTGCATGTGCGACGGCTGCACCACCTGGTTGGCCATCACCGGCTGGGCCGATGGCATGCTCTGCTGCTGGTAAGGAGTGCCTGGCTGCGAGTGGTTGTAACCGGGGTTCATTTGGTAGCCAGCAGGGGGCTGGGGAGGGGAGAAGGTGGGTGCCTGGGAGAAATTGGTGGGTTGGGAAGGGAGCTGAGGGTAGGACAGGTTGGCAGACGTTTGAGGGTAGGAAGGCTGCTGGGAGAAGCTGGTGCTCTGAGAGAAGGTACTAGCAGAGTCCGGGAAACTGTCAATAGGCTCCTGCTTGTACTGCTCATTCTGGGAATAAGCGTTGGGGTTGTAGTTCTGGAAATCCTGCTGCAGGACTTCGTTCCGTGGCTGCACCACAAACTGGCTTGCCATCTGGGGAATGCTGGGTAACGACGACTGTTCTAGGGGCTCCATCTGCTGGGGCCCCATATTACTACTGTTGTTGTAGGTATTGTATCGGTACCCATTGCCTCCTTTGGGCGGATGGTAAGGGGGCGGCGACACATCTCCCGTGTTCGCTCGGGGAATATGGTAAGATGGGTGATTCCCGGACGACCCCTGGGACATAGGACTGCTGCTGTTCCTCGCCGACAAGTGTCCGTAATCTCCGGCCTGCATTCCTGGGGAGGGCGATATAGACGCGGATGACGCTCGCGAACCAATTATATATGCCACTAGTGAGGTGGGGCTTGTCCTGATGATTGAATTGAGGTCGTCTGAGGAGAGCGGGGAAAGGGACAGAGCCCGTTTGCGTGAACGCGCTGAGAAGGATCGCGCCGAGTGGCGCGGACTTGCAAAGCTGGATCCTGAGGGGGAGATCTCAACCGGGAAGGGGGAGAGGGAGTTGAAGCTGCTGGCATAGTGAGACAAGGAGGAGCTTGGCGGGGGAAAGCCGACGTCGCTGCCGGCCTGCGACCCTGGGCCCTGACTGTGTGGCGTCAAAGAGGGCAGCATCCGACTGCTGGACCATTCCTGCTTGATGGGCACCACCGTGCTGGGCTCCAGGAACATCTGACGATGCTCCCCGCCCGGGGGTTGGTTCTGCCCTGCTTGGCTGACCGACGACATGGCGGAAGGGATCCTGGGAGTGTTGCGGATGTTGGAGATGTCGCTCAGGGTTGGCGATTGGGATAGGTTGTTGCTCTGCAGACGGACTCGGCGTACACCTGTTGTTGATGGGGGGCACGGCATGGACATGTTGCCTGCTGGTCCTGCACCCCCTGGCCGACTGGCTGTGCTCACCATATCCGAACAAAAGTTGATATCTGATAATGAAACAAATCAATAACAAAGGTTTAATTGTTTGTATGTTTGCATAACCAGCAACACATTTTTTTTTTTTTATAGATGAGTATTGTTTGCTGTTCACTGCAGAATTCTTGATTGTTTCAAGAATAATTTTCAAGAGGAATCATATCATCATTGAGTTAATGGTAAGAAAAGAACGAAAGTCTACACAGCTAGTGCATATATGCACAGTTGACTCTCATTAACAGAAACTCTGTTGGAACAAAATTCTGGTTTTAGGGAATACAAAGCCTCGGTCCAGGCCGAAGGCTACCTTTCTTTTTGGTTTGTTGTCATTTTGATAACATACGCACATGTACATTATGTACAATGCACGGTGCTTACTTGGTTTAAAAACAAACAAGATAATGGTAAAATTTTACTGAGAGAACCCCATCCTCTGGAGAAAAAAAACCCAAACAAACAAACAAACAACACAATTTTATACCAACATACACACAAACACATGAAACCTTATTTTCTTTCTGGTTTGTTGTCATTTTGAGAACATACACATTGCTTGTAAACTTGGTTTAATAAAAAAAAACAAGTTTGAAAAAAAGGAGCATCCATAACAAACTCCCAAAATACCATAACAACTCTAGAAATCTAAAAAGGTTAAGTTTCTATTGGAAGCCCTCTTAACTTCCCCACACTGGGTGCGTGCTGTTACCACAAAACAATGGGCACCAACTTGAGGGGCTATTCAGTCAAATCCCACTCTCAGCTTTGCACTCTGGGAGAAGAAAAGCTTCCTGGGGAACAAGAGTCAATGGTCCGAGTCAAACTCCTATAACACAGAGATTCAAAAACCAGGCAATGCATTAAGGAAGGCTGTCAAAGGATTACACGGGCAAATCCTTTTATCAGGGGGTATCAGATCCAGCAAAAGGGACCTGGTGGTGCGGTAAACAAGTGAAGTGGTGGGATCATCCTCTCAGATAAGGGGAGGGGAGGTTTTGGAGACAAGGCGCAGGCCGCTCCTGGGGTGAAGGATTCAGCGCTGTCAAGTCCCGAGAAACAAAAAGATGATATATTCAAGACTTTTCAGAGAGATCCCCTTCGCACTGGATGAGTATCAAGGGCCATCTTTTCCAGGCTAGCAATTGACAAGGACCAGCAGGGGAGGTGACTTGGGACAGTACAGCTGTTTCGCTGTTTATGACTGTAGACAGAAGTGGCAATATAAAAATTCAGATCTCAACATTCTGATAAGTCCGTACTGCAAATTGTCATTTTAAAAAGTATTTGTCGACCCTGCTCGATATTTGAAAAGAGCACAATCTCAGCATTACTGCTGTGAAAACCCGTGCTGGTACCATCTTTAATTCAAAAAGCCATAAATATAGGATTCAATTGGACACAAAGGTGCATTTCCAAGGACTTCATTAAAAAAAATTACATTACATGGGCCCTTAACTAAAAACAGAAACTTTTTCCCAAATCCTACAGAGAAGTTTAGTTTCCCACAAACAGGCCAGGCACAGTGCAATGATCCTGTTACTGACTCACCCAATCACCCCACCAGATTGATTTCGGATTTGAAAGCCACACCGCTCACTGGAGGAGCAAAAAAATACGGCAAACAAAAACATCCCTGGGCCCCGATTGGTCGATCCGCTAACAGGAAGTCCGTGCCTTGGCCCTAGCCCCGCCATAAATAGCACCAAACCGCAACTTTAATTAGTGTAAGGTATCGCCAAACTTGTACTGTTGTAACATTATCGGAGCGTTATTTTTGCAACTCTCGCACGCAACATGTGTCCCTGAAAAGACTTTGGGGTATCAGTTCTGACTGGCTGAATAACTTACGGAGCTCAAAATAATGCCAGTGTTAAAGGCATGGAGGATCGTTTTGCTTTTTTTGTGCATTCAGTTTGTTTGAAGCAACAAAGTTGCTCAAAATCTTATGAAGGGTGCGTGTTATATACAACATTTGCAAACATAAAAAAAAAACACTTCCAAATTATTATAAAATACCTTACTTGAGTGTAAGTGAATAATAGTCTCAAGCATCCTGTAAAATTATGGCACCTGGTCATTGTTGAAAAAAGTGATATTTTTCAAATACTGCCCCCAATTTACCAAAGTTAGTTAGTCCACATTTGGTTTGCAATCGGTTGCACATCCGTGACCCCCAATTCCCCAATGTCTAAATTGCTCCATTTCTGCCCCTGTTTCTTTTTAACCCATCTGAGGTAGGGGCAGGGAACCAGACTGCAAGAAAAGTTTTTTTTTCTTGGTTTTTCCAGCATCCACGAACACAAAAACTTTAAACAGGTCAATGTTACAATATTTGCTATAAAATACTAAACCCCAAATCCGTCCATTTCTAAAAATTACAGCAAAAGCAAATGTCGTCACCTTTAACTAACAAACAAACTTACTGAAGTTTCAGCTCAGTGGCCACTATACATTCCGAGAAAGCAGAGATTAACGTACTAATTTTGGGTCTCGTAATGCCATTTGTAATGCACGTAAAAAAGTGTGCCTGTGGGCAGACTTTTTTATAACCACATGAAATTACCTCCGAACGATACCATTTTCAGGGAGAATAATTTCACAGGGTATTTGGTGTCAGATTTATCCTCACTCTGAGCAAGATTTTTCTCATTAAAATCAGTAGGTCCATTTAATTCCGGGTAAACTACCAATGTTCCTCCGTGCCTTTAAATAAAAGGCAACTTTAAGGTTAAATAATTAAAGGTTTGCGGAAACATCATGTGCGAATAATTTCTCAACTAAGAGAATGGTTCTGAAAAGAACCAGAGGTATAAACTTGATGTTCCGGTCAGTATGCTCTGACCGTCTTCAGGAGAATGAACAACTTTTCTGCTAACTGTTCAGCAGTGCCTGGAAATTGGGCCCAGGATTCCAACATCAAATGTGAAAAGAGTTCAACCCTCACCCCTACTAGACTTCTTTGCAAGAAATCTGCTTGAATCCTTCAAGGGCAACTCAAACTGAAACTATCATAAAATATGGCCATGGTAAGTGACGGTCAGAGCATACTGACCGGAACGTCGAGTTTATACCTCTGGTTCTTTTCAGAACCATTCTCTTAGTTGAGAAATTATTCGCACATGGTGTTTCCGCAAACCTTTCATTATTTAGTATCTCCACCATGCAAAGCCTCAAATCTTTAACTTTAAAGGTTGAGGAAAAAAAAGTGGATTTTTAAAAAAGTCTCACGTAAATCTGCGAACTAAATCTGAAATTACCACGAGTTATATTTGGTTGTGAATAAAACAAGCTTTGTCATTGTGTGTCACTCCATGAGGAAATCTGCAGTCAAAAATGAAACTCCATGGAAAATGGTTTAAACTCAAATAAAAAGCGTGTCCCTTTCACACTTATGGTCCCGCGCTGCGAGTCTATTGTGATGCTGGGATTTATTTACTACTCAGGTTCTCACCGAAACCAAAATGGGCAAATATGTATATTTATGGGGGCAAGGCATAGAAAGGGATCTAATCTCTTTAAAAAAATGTAATTGTTGTTCACAAAGAGGAAATATCGGTCATTGGTCACGGGCAAAGCCCTGTATCGCCCTACATTTCATCTGGTTGAGAAAGGTCTCGGAACTGACAGCTTTAAAAGAAAATTGTGAACAACAGTCAAAAAGTGGACAGCAGATATTATTATCAGTCCTGTGTAGCCTATAAATACCTGCGGATGGGCAACAAAGTGCTTGTAAGCTCATACAAAAATATCGGTCATTGGTCACAGGCAAAGCCCTTTATCACCCTATATTTCATCATTGTTAGGAAAGGTTTCAGAACTGACAGCTTTATAAAGACAAGTGATCCGCGGATTGCGTGTGTTGCTTTATTCCACGGTCAATCCCTATATGTTTTGTGTTCTTTAACCCTAACTCCTGGGGCTCTTTTACTAGAAAGTATCCTGAATCCGCCAAAATCCACCAATTTTGTCATGCAAAAAATGCTGGTATCCTGAATCCATCAGAATCCCCCAGTGTAGATTCTGGAGGTATCCTGAATCCGCCAGAATCCACCAGCAAAAGTCTTGATGGATTCTGGCGGATTCAGGATACCATGGTGGCATAAATAAAAATACAGCACGTTTTTCCATAGAGTCTTCAAAATCCATCACCTAACTTTCTGGTGGATTTTGACGGATTCAGGATACCATGCTCGCATGAAAATTGTGATGTGTGTTGTTGCATAGGATCCATCAAAATACACCAATGCATGGCGACCCCAGCATGGATCAGTACCGAAGTGAATACGTAACGCGCACAAAATTTGTGTGAAAGACATTAGCGCATGTTTCAGCCTGTAAACCATAGATATAGAATGAAAAGACTAGATCGGCAGCGCGTCCACACGCGCCCAGTCACTGTGCGATAAATCTCCGCCATTTTGGTTGTCTCTCGTAGACGCGCAACAAATTAACGTAAAGTAATGGAGCTAAATGTATCTTTCCTCCAGCACGTGACCTAGCTCAACACGCGCGAACAAAGAAATGCGCACCGAGTATTTACGTGATGCGTACACATAATTATTAGCGATGCACATGGTGTTCTTTGCACGTAAACGGCGTTGCGTTCGTCACGTTTTCGCGCATTATTTGTATCTTTCCTCCAGCACGTGACCCTCCATGCAAGTCCACCCAGCACATGTGTGTACATGTTTGTACAGTATGTGACAGACTTGGCAGGGCTAGTGCCAGCAGTATTTACTTGACCACAAACATTGCAAAAGAGTTAAACTGTTGAGATCCTGAATCCATCAAAGTCCCCCAACAGCTCAAAATGGAGGCATCCTGAATCCATCAAAATCCGCCAGCTCCACTAGGCTTCGAATCCTGAGTCCATCAAAATCCCCCAGTTTGTTCAATATGGAGGTATCCTGAATCCGCCGAAATCCCCCGAAACAGGGGGGTGGATTTTGATGGATTTAGGTACGTTAGGGTTAAAAGTCAGATTTTGTGCATTTTTTAAAACGACCTCAAAGGACACCTGGAGGACCTTTGACCTCCAATTTTGGAAGAGTTGAGATGAACCCCCACCCAAGGATGACTCCATCCAAGTGACATAAAAATCCATCAAATTCTGTAGACAAAGAAACGCTTGAAGCATATTCAAACTACATGTATGACCTCTGATGACCCCTACATGACCTTTGACCTTAGTAATCCGACGAAGAATTGGGCCTTCCCACCTAAGGGTCACTGCATCAAAGTCTCATCCAAATCCATGAAAGCATGTAGAAGTCATACACTTTTTTTCAAAAACTTAACCTAAACTTTAACATACAGTCATATAGGATACTGTCAAACAGTCATACAGAGTTTAGGACTGTCATACAGAGTTTAGGACTGTAATACAGGGTGAGTCAAAAAAAGCGAAACCCAAATGTCGGGACTATTGTTTTAGTGAAGTTCTGCATGTAGCACTTTGAAAATCTAGGATATGAAAGCCCAATTCATAAGCTTTGTTTTAGAACAAGAATCATTCAAATCACTCCTGTACTTTTTAAGTTACGAAATTTGAAACACAACCACCGTTTTAAAGTTCTGTCCACGGATCACAAAAAAGGTGTGCGTTCTTAATGAAAACAATTCACCAAATCCCCATGTGATTTGTTTTCATTTTGCTGAAAGAACACTTACCTTCAGAACTTTAAAACGGTGGTTGTGTTTAAAATTCCGTAACTTGAAAATCACCTGAGTGATTTGAATGATTCTTGTACTAACAGAAAGCTTATGAATTGGGCTTTCGTATCCTAGATTTTGAAAGGGCTACATGCAGAACTTCACTAAAACAATAGTCCTGACATTTGGGTTCGCTTTTTTTTTGACTCATCATGAAGTTTCTCCCACAAAACTTTGTTCAGGTGACACAAAAATGTCGCCCGAGCCAGAACATGTTCATGTACATGTATTTTAACTTCAAACAACGTTTTGTATGTGTACACGTACATGTACATACATGTACATTTTGTGAAAAACTATAATTCAGGTCGAAAAAAAAGGAGGTCCCGTGTTTTTAAACCCCCTTTTTCGTCATCCGGGTTAAAGAGCCTATTAAACTCTTAACCATTGATTTTTTTTGTTACTAATGCGAAATGTCCATAAAAAACAACAACAATAGTTCCCTTTGTCCCCAGGGCCCAGAACAAAAAGGGAATTGGACCCAGCAGACAATGGCTCGGGCGAGCGCCTGAGGGGCGAGATCGATTTCCCCCAAGACAGGTTTTGGATTTTCCAAGCGCTAAGCCCGTGTTCAAACACTGTGACAGTAACTTCAATGGGACTCAGCACTGCCTGGGTGCTAATATTAGAACAGTTATATTCGATTCCCACAGGGCTGAGTATTATTCGAGACAACTTTGTTAAAGACATTCATGTGCATTCGTGGCAGGGATTGGATTGGCACGAAATACTCATTATTGCCAATGCCACAGCCAAGCACGTCAAAACTGGTTCTGAAGTTGAATTAACAATCGCTTTAACTGAAATATGTGAGCACCGCACTTGAAAGACTAGATCCTGAGATTGTCTTCAAAATTACGTAAATATTATAGGCATACTTTATTTTGCAAATGCGCGGGCCAAAACGGCGCTATTTTCTGGGTACAAAAACGACAGAAAAAATCCTGTTTATCTATGCAGTTTAGTATTTTTTGTACAAACATGAAAATCTCACCTGTACAAACAAGCTTACTCTCACATCACACAATCTTAACTTGACTTTCTCCTCGAGCGCCATGAGCGCCTATTTTTGGCGGATACCGGCGCTTTACAAATGTTCTTTTATTATTATTATTATTATTACTTTAATCTAAAAATAAAAATAAAAAGATTGTCAAATGTAATTTTTGAGCGTGTGTCATTCTATAAATGTCTGGTCCAAAAGATGACATTTTCCCTGTCCCCGCGACCTCGGGACTCTGCAATTTGCCATTCAAGTATCATTGAGAATGACTTCAAAATTTTTCATTTGTTGGGTAGGTAGTTTGCTATTCATAAGCACTCTTGGAGGACGACTGCATTAAGAAGTGCATCAGAATTAGCAAATCACAGATGTCAGATGTAACAGGGACAGGGACAAAAGTGGTCCCCATATTTATAGAATGCAATTGGCTTTTCGGACTTAGCTAAAGAGTTTATAAATAACATGCACAGTATGTACAAACAAGAATGTTGACAAGAACAAAAAGTTTAAACAACCATTTTGTAACGTGCGGTTGAAGACTTTGTACATAAAACTCACCATTTCCTCACAGAAAACCCGACACGAAAACGATTTAATTGCCATCGTAAATGCCTTTCACGATTCCAAGTAAACTTCTCCCCCAAAACATGATGAGGATCTAAACTCTTTGAAGTTGCATTTGGAAGTTGGAACTAGATGTGATCACCGCACAGTTACATGTAGATGCGGAGATCTATAAATCCGGTTTGTCAACAGGATCGTGTTTGCACAAAGTTGTAATATCCTGGCAGCAAACTGCTCAAGCAAGGACTGGTAACATGATTGGGTGATACTGGGGTGGGGGGGGGGGGGGGGGGGTTGAAGAATTCTTTTAGGTACAGCTTTATCAATGCAAACAGGATGTACATGTTTCGGTGGTCGCTTCTATTATTTAACTGCTTGCGTTAACTATTTGTACTTAATGTTTGACTTATGTACATGTACATGATTGTACAATGTAAATAAAGATGACTCACTACAAACACGACTATCGAGTCATGCAGATTAAAAATTCACGCATTGTAAGACAGTGCCTGACGCCCATGCCTAGACGCCATGACTTTGTGCACATTTGGAATAAACTTAATTGGCGCGTGTGTCCTTCGCGTCATAGATGCACGACGTGCGCGTATACTGGAGCTCTGAATTGTGGTCATAATAGCGCCACCTATTGTTCATGCCAGGTGTGGCAAAGTGGTTAGGGTTCGTGTCTCATGATTAGAGGGTCAGGGGTTCGAATCCAGCTGCTGGCCATATGTTGTGTCCTTGGGCAAGCCACTTCACCCCCACATGCCTCTCTCCACCCAGGAGTATAAACGGGTACCGGCATTAGCTGGGGAGTAACCTGCGATTGACTAGCATCCCATCCAGGGTGGAATAGAAATATTCTCACCCTGCTGGCTGTATGTTGTGTCCTTGGGCAAGCTGCATCACCCCCACTTGCCTCTCTTAACCCAGGAGTATAAATGGGTACCGGCACTAGCTGGGGAGTAACCTGTGATGGACTTGCATCCCCATCCAGGGGGAAACAAAATATTTAATTCTCTGTCATTTCATGCTACTGAAACCGGAGATAAATGCCGCTTTGATGGGCCCCATTGGCTCGTGACAGACTTGACTTTCACTTCTGTTCATGCAAAGAGTTCTTTGCATCCTGACCCAGAATCGCCCGCCTCAATGGTCCACCGAACTTAGCATCCTGTTCCAGAAACTTCTGTCTCAATGGTCCACTGTACTTAGCATCCTGTTCCAGAATCTCCTGCCTCAAAGGTCCACCGAACTTAGCATCCTGTTCCAGAAGCTTCTGCATCAACGGTCCACTGTACTTAGCATCCTGTTCCAGAAGCTTCTGCATCAACGGTCCACTGAACTTAGCATCCACTACTTTCACTAAACCATGTAAACTACTAGACCAGCAAGAGTCGGGCAGTCTCCTGATGCCGAACAGAGCACACTGTTCGAGACATCAAGTTAAACCAACTGGTTCTTCTCAAAGCCACACAACTCACAAAGAGATATCATTCACATGAAGTTTTAAACCCTTCTTTGCAAAGCTAAAAGGACGGTTTAAAACCACCCAAGTGATGAGTTCATGACCAAAGGCAATATGTAAACTGTCCTAGGTACGTGTTAAATTCAAGGCTCTATTTATCCACTTTATGTTCCATTTTTTGGTTTTCTTGGGCCTGAAATGCATCAAAGTTTAGCCAAGTATCACACTACAGATATTTGTACTGTGTTGTGCAAATATGTATCAAGACATTCTAGTCTGACCATTTATCAAGGAATCATGATCCCCCTATGATCATGATCCCCCTATGCTCCACCTCAGTAGGAAATAAATTCTCATTTACAAAGCACTGAATTTATTACGATAAATGGACTTACCGGTACCAGTTGCTCAAGTGTGCATATAAACTACACAAGTGGAGTCCAACGAGACACGAAGAACATCAATATAACAACCTGCCTTCTACCACAAGAAAATCCTCGAAGAATTCAGCACCAGAGACACGAGCCAAAATTTCTTCACAACAATGATTCTGTCGTACATGTACACCGTACAGTTGTAATATCACCAACCCAACTTTTTACCACCATTTCTCTATACATGCAAGTTCCATTACATGACAAACTTTATCACCCGGATATTGTATTAAATTTAATACAAACGTTTCCTCCACTACAAATACTGCATTGGATATAATCCCAGAACACCAGACATAATCTCACTCCAACATCCAAAAACCCACACCTTTAGAATTCAGACATTCTTACAGTGAACCCTACCACCCATCCCTCCCCAACAAGAAAAAGAAAGACCTTATCCCCAAACAATGGGTTTGCCAATTTCGTTTCACTGCCTCTTTCGTTTCCTAAATTCATGGAAAATGGCTTGAGTCATATTCCCGGAGATCAGAGGCAAGCTGGCACTCACTAGCACACCACGCACAATAATATACAGTGGGTCCCTTATTATTGGGGTGACCCATGGTTGTCTCTAATTTCACTGGCATTGAAGATTTGTGACGCCATCCCTGTACTAAAGTAATGACACCCCGGCATCAGCATACAGAGCCACTAGGCCAAAAGGTCAAACAGTTTTTTTCTTGGGCTTTTTTGTTTTTCTTGCAAGTCAATGAACGTGTCTTCGCCACTCAAGGTTGTCGGCTCAGTACAGCATTGAGACAATTCCAAGAACAAGTTTGTGGAATCGTGACGTGAATGACATCGTCTGTGAACGTGTTCTTTGGCACTTTTTGCTGGTCCCAGAGAGCCAGCCTTATATTTTTATATGTGATGCGATCAAGCTACATGAGTCGTTTGTCGATCCTGGTCAAAACATTTTTTATTCAGGGGTGTGAGTGACCGCTAATAAAAACAGCTGAAAACAGCTGAAAAAGGTGAAAAAGGCTGAACTTTGGAAATCTCCTATACTTTTGTACACAGCAAGTGAGGGAAAAAGCTGAAATCCAAAACAAAAAAGCTGAAATCAGCTTTAAAGCTGAGATTTCACACCCCTGTTTATTACAGATTTGAAAAGAGCACAATCTCAGCATTACTGCTGTAAAAACCGCAGGCTGAGTTCAAAAATTATGGAAGTCGGAACACCAAGAGATGTGATGAAGTGATGTGATGAAGTGGCCCTATTTTGGCCTGTATCTCCACATAAAAATTCCCGACAAATGACTCATTTAGCTTGATCGCATCACATATCCTCTTTGTGTCTATGTCACTGACTGAATTACTGGCTGTGACTTGTGGGTCATTCTACAAATGTAGGGTCCAAAATGTGACTGTCCCGGTTACCTTTGAAAAAAGTTGAAATTTTCCATTCAAATATTAACAATTGATCTGATGTGGGATATGACGTTTTTAACACCAGACGAGGTGTATGCACCCCGAGGGGGTTAATATCCCACATCACAGCAGTCAACAATTGTTTTGTTATATCCTGCCAATAACTCAAAAAAATAAATGGTTGTAACTTACTGTCTGAGAAATAAATCAAATCACTGCGATGTATACCTTTGATAACTGAAGGTTTTGATGTCCTGCCGGACATGAAGCTGAGCATTTGACGTTGCAGTTCTCAACTTTTCATTGCGCAAAGCTAGTGAGCTGGCAGGCTCCACATGCGTGCTCAGTTAACGCAGTGCGATATCTCACACAGTGTGTGACATGTATTTTTATTGTCCAGACACGTGGCCGTCCTAGACCAATGAAACTACAGTATCCAAGCACACGATATAACAATTAGGAATGACTTCACATTATATTTGATTTGTTGGGTAGGTAGTTGGCTTTTCATACATGTAGTCAAGCTTGAAGGATCCTGCATTAAGGAATGCATGCAGAATTATGAAATCATAAATGTCAGATGTAACAGAGACAGGAAAAAAAGGTGGAGTCCAAATTTATAGAACAACCCTTGTGACTTAAACTGTTTGTAGACTGGTGAAGAGTCAGGCAGTGTATGGGCTCCGTGCGCCAACAAAAGAGGGCGCCCTTTTACCTAGCAACGACGTCCCATGGGCGGGATACATTTCGCTGGTTGACGCGCGCGCACCGTTCCTTGTGTGTGACGCACGTACACCAGCGGACTTGTACTATGCACACGCAGTGGCCATGCTTCACGGCAAAATATTGCAGTCAGGCAAGATGGCGTTGTTCGGTCACCCCAACTGTATTTCCTTTGCCGGTGAGGGGGTACTTGTGAACGGAGCGGATATCACCCTGTAACACCAATAAATGGGCTATTGTCCAGCGCATCGTGTATAGACTAAAATGCATGAACAGACATTTCCATGACTGCTCGATGTGTTCCGACACCCTTATGTTCCAACAACCTGCACACACCCGGTAAGATTGTGTTTCTCCCGGTTAGGGTTAGGGTTAGGGATAGGAATATGTGCAGTCGGAACATGGGGGTGTGGGTACATAGGTGTGTAACCGACTTCCCAGTCAAAAGTGTGTAAAATTTAGACTTACCTTGATGAAAATTGTTGATGAATTTGAGACACTCTGCTTCATATGTTTATACAGAGACAACAAAGGCAATCCTAGGCTACTTCTTAACGTTCACTGCATTAGCACCTTGAGTGTAACACGCGATGCATTGCAACAGCCGAAAACAACGCATCCCCTTGAAATGAACAACTCAAACTGAGACCCAAATCAAGCATCTGCCTGAAGGCGAACAATCCGACAGCGAACAGCGCATCCCCTTGAAATGAACAACTCAAACTGAGACCCAAAATCGAGCATCTGCCTGCAGGCGAACAATCCGACAGCAATATTTGAAAATTATGAGGAGGGATGCGAATAGGTCGAGCCTTGAACTACCCGTGTCCACCCCGCGGCCAAAGAAAGAAGAGAGAAATGAAATCGGCGGAGAACGGTGACTGTGATTGACAGAGGGACAGGTGATTCTGTGATTCTCCTGTCTAATGAGGGATGCGTCTTTTTCTCGCCAGATATCAATACGGCGACAATCCAGCACACCTCATTTCCCTGCTCCAGTCTGGCGGAAGAAATTACATGACAAAATGGTTGTCAAGGTCACAGCTCATGGATTTTTCGGGCTGGTCTACGGAACGAGCTCGGATCCCTGTCTCTCGAAGAGAAACGCCATCGATCCCAGTTTGTCCGAGAGGAAATTTGATATACTGCTGAGAAGGGTTATTGATCCAAGACCCGGTGATTTTCTTCGAGAGTTTGTTTTACAATTAAGAGATGTTTATAATCGCGACGCGGTTTGGGCCAGCACTCACATTTGTTAAACGTCACTAGCTTGCCGGACCAAAATGGCACCCGTCTCCCAAAGGACATTTTCAACCAATAGAAATCAAAGGTAAAACGACAGAGGTAGGCGAATGTTATGTGTAGTCTTTACACATGTAAGGGGACCGGATGAAATGCCTGAAAAGATTGCGATCAGCATAGAAAGAGTGTCAGATAACAATCAGAAATTTCTCGGAATTTGGATTAGACACTTTTCTCAGCACATGTATTTGAATTGTACACGATGTAAAATTTAAAAATTTAAATAAATTGAAATTTCACAGGGTATTTGGTACCACTCCTGCATTTATCTTCTAGTGGTAGGAGAAATCAGAGATTTAAAATCCGGATACGTTTATCTGATTTCACCGGAAGTTCTCATTCAGCTCAAAGTCATGTCCAAAAAGAAAAAAATGACGAGCGAGGTGCTACATGGAATGCCCTCCATGATGATTAGGTATGACCACTGGGCCTTTACAAAAACAATCCAGAGCTGTAATGTTGAAAAACAAATGGATGGAACCTCTCTGATCAGACGAATGGGCAGGCTATTCATGAACCAAGAAGACCACTAGTGAATGTTTAGTTATAATCAGAGGCCATGGAGCAAAATGGATGATGTTCCAATTATTTTCTTTAGCTTGTGTCACAAACAATGGAAGGTCTAATTTTTTAAGTTGGGTTTTGAATATCTGGTTTCCAATATCCAAACCGGATAATGGAATTCAAACAGAATAAAAAAAAAAAAACCCGATTTTTTAATCCCACCATTACTATCTTCCCTTTGAGCAAGGATTTTCTCGTTAAATTGGAAGGTACCCGGTACATGGGGGTGTACGTTTCTGGGTGAATGAAATAGTTTCTATGTGCCTTTAATTCAATTTTAGGGTACAACTAACCAAATACTATTAAAACTTATCGATACCAACTATAAACAGTTGGCATTAGGGAGTAATATAATGAGGTGCTGTGAATAGGATTACAATTGATGCGCAACTGCAAGACGCCACAATAGTATGTCTCAATTATGGTCCTCTCCAAAAATCAATAAGCGATGAGGATCAGAAGAGATCAGAAGAAAGAGGGATGGGCAGTTACATGTACATGTGTATGTGTTTAAGTACATTCAAATGTACAGTACACATCTTGGGAAGACACACATGATTCAGTGCTTAGATGTCCTATTATCAAGGCTTGAATTGAACGACGGCCACGATGGCCAGTGCCGTCGTTGCCTTCTTACTGGCCGAGGTGCCCCACAAAAAATCCCTGTCTTCACGGCCAGTTTTGCCTTGCCCCATAATTACCTTGGCCGTCGTGCCCTTTTTGCAAAAACATCCATCAGCCTATTAAAACCACTACAATCCTTGATTCCAGTTGTTTTTCCACACATTGACAATATATTTCGATGCCATGCCAGCCCGATCAGTTGTCTTAATATCTCGCTGAATCAATCACACGCGCGCAGTACGGCCGGCCGTGGCCGGCCGGCCAAACGCCGGTGATTCCCCACTGTACGATGTACACACGTACATGTACGTACGTACACCGACAACTGAATCTCCAGTTCCTGTATGTGCCGATACTTCAAGAAGCGACACCCCCGCCGCAAAAATATATGTCTGTATTCGTACACACACATACCAGCAGGAGTACGTACGGCAGTCAACCGTGCAGTCAACCGACTTTCTTTTTCTCAGTGCTTGCGAATTGCATGCGCGGTACAGAACGCATTGATGTTCGTGTACGAGGCAAACTAGCTTGGGGCCGGGCGCAGTCAAACAAGCGTGCACATGGCGTTTCAAATTCCGATTGTCAAAAGCGGACATTGTAAATGGCGATCGTGTATTAATTATGATTCCCTAAGAGAACAAAATCAACTTTTAATCCACATTAAGAACATGCAGGTAGGTTATAGATAGAGGGAAGGGTTTCAAATTTTGAGGGGAATTTTGAGGGAAAACGAC